AGCCAGTACTACCTTGTATGACTGCTTGTTTAGACTGTTAGAGCCTTTGTGTCTGCAAACCTCTGGAAAACCTTGAATCAGTCTTCAACTTAACTTCGATGTCATTTCCTCCGGGAAACCTTCCCTGACCTTCCCAGGCACCTGTGTTTCCTCCACCGTGCTCTCATCCAGCCTCGTACATGTGTTTAGGAGAACGGTGTCTTCCTGGACCTCTCAGAGTCAGGCACTGTGTTGTGCTTATCTTTGCGTCCAGGGCTTGGCACATGGTGGTTGCTGCAAGTATTTGGGCCAAAGGCATGGAAGTGTCATTACAGAAAGATGCCCTGCCCCAGTGCGCTTGTCTATATGAGACTAGAGTGAAGAAGACATAATAGTCAGGGGAGTTTGGACATTGAGGACGAATGTCAGTAAAGCTTTGATGATACCAAAGGGAGAAAAGGGACTGAAAAGCCAGCTTCCTATGGACTCCAACAACAGGAAATAAGGCAGAAAATGAGTTTGAGAAACAAAGGCCCTAAGACTTCTTAGCTGAACAGAGGGACTCAACCCATCTGTGAAGATCAGATTACTATTTCATATCATTGAAGTGGCCCCTGTTAAGTGGGAGTGGGGCTGGAGAAGACATGGACACACGGAAGCAAGTAAGTAAGAGTCTTAAGAATTACATCTTGAGAAAGAAATAGATCAGGAGTTTGCTGCATTTTCTGTGGAAATTATATATTCAAATACACCAAGAGCCTTGCCTAAAAAGAGCCTTGTTCTTTAAATCAGCCCTTGGCTGGCCAAAATTGACAAGGCAGGAAGTGATGCATGTCATTGCTATCGCCTCTGAAGGAAGATGTCCTCCCGTGTGCCCACTTTAGGTGGAAAGCAAGGGACGAGGTAGTTCCTCCCAATTGTCAGTGCCAGGTGAATCAGAGAACTTCTTCCACTGTGCTAGCTGGTGTCTTGACAAGGCCTGCCCACTGAATTTCACCTTTGCTACAAATCAGTAACTGGCAGGTGTCTGTCATTCCTCCCATTTCCAAGTGGGAGCTTTGATGGTGGTTGATGTGTCTCTGCTCTATCATTGGAAGTTAAGTGTATACATGGGAGGGAGGGAGCGAGCGAAGTGAGAGCCTTTATATTTTAGTCCACAGCTCACCCATCCACAAAGAGCCCCCTTCAAATATGAGGGAGAAAACTGTGAATCAGGGCAAGGTTCTGGACGATGAGCTGTATGCCGTAGCTGGGTGGTGCTTTTCACTGATGCTCCTGGGGGAGATGGGAGGGTGTGTCTATGGCGTAGGAAGAGGGCTACAAATGAGTATTTGGTGCCAAGAGGAGAAGGTGGCAGAGACTGACTGTGCTTGTGAAAATGTGTGTTCTCACCTTTCTGGGCAGTCAGACCACATTTCCTGGCCTGCCTGGCAGTGAGGTATGACCATGTCATGACTCCTGGCCAAAGGATTGTGGTGGAAGCCCATGAGGCTCTCCCTGAATGCATTTCCCCTTCTGCTAGCTGTATGTTAGTGTCACCTCGGGAGGTGACTCAATACAGCTGCTCCCCACTGGACCCCCAAGGAACACACATGTGAACTCCTGAGTGAAGGAGAAATAACCCTAACCTGGTTTCAGCTGCTGAATGTTGGGGTTTGTTACAGCATATGTTAATCCCTGACTGATCACAGCTTTCTGCTCTCCATGACTTGAGGCAGCGTTACCTAGGACAGATCTGCCTGCCTGCAGCATTCTTGGGGTTCTTTGAGTTATCATAGGAGAAAAGACCTCTGAAGTGGACAAAAATTTCAACTGGTGTGATGGGTTTTCAGAAAAATCTGGTTAGATCATTAAGAGATATTTGACCTCATCTTGCCCCTGAGGCTGGTGAGGTGGGACTTATCTCAGTTCACTTGAGCCTTGTGGTCAGGATTATGGGGTGCAGGATGGATGGATCTAGGGACTGCTGCCTCAGACAGGGTTCGTTTCTATATGGATGATGTGAACATCATAAAAATAAAGCATTTTATTTCTCCATTTTCCATTGATTATTTTAATATTAGAAGGGAGTACTTAATAACATAAGTAACTGTTAAAAACCGATTAAGTGGAAAAGCTACTAATAAAATAGTGTGCTCTGCATAATTTTAATTTTGAAAAAAACAAGCTGAAAGTCTTCAAGTGCTAGGAAGATGACACCGAAATATTAAGGGTGGTGGTCACTTGTAGGTAGAAATGTTAGTGCAATTTTTGTATTTGTCTCTATTGTTTGGTGTTTTTTAAACTTTTCTCAGTGGACACTCATCACCTCCAGATTAGCATCAGCAATGAAGGCAGTTGAAGTTATTTTTAAGGAAAAGATGAAAAAATTTTGTCTTGGAATACAAAAATTTAGTTTTTTCACTCATCAGTACTGTGAGCTCTTGGTGAGGCTCATATCCCAGCAGGGAATTGGGGGTTGATGAGCTCACCCACAAAACCGATGCTGCAAACAACACTCTTGTATTTGTGCCTGAATGAATTCATGAGTGTTTAATCTAGGAATTGAAAAGTATGACGATTTTACTGAGAGTTGGTATTTTAAAGAACTATACTTGCTTTCCATTAAGTGTGTCCATACGCTTCTATTAAATTTGGGAACTGTATGATCTTTTCTTGGACCTCAGTGCTGGACTCAGACAAATCTAACCATGTTAAGTACTGCAGTGTTGTCAGTATCTGAACACTGCTTTCCTTCTGCTGTTATCACATTCTGGCGAAGAATGTGTTGGTGGGGCTCCCCTTCCTGAGACAGAGTTCCACCGGCAGGTTAAAAATCATTCACATTCCAAAGACATGGAAGAGTGACCAAAGCAAGAGTTTCTGGAACAACGTTAGCTCCCATGTAGGGGCTGAGCTGTCAGTGGCCCTCCTCCTCATCCTGTGACAAATCTTCTTTTACTGCAAGAGGATAAACTGGTGATCTTCGTATTAGGGAAGTCCTTCAGTTCAGACAGCTTTTCAGCTTTCTGTTTGGACCCTCCACACCAACTGAGGAAAAGGCAGTGGGATGAGATTAACGTCTGCACACGGGACTTCATGGTTCTGCAAATTCAAGCATGTGCAATGGAAAGATCCGGGTGGCGAGTGATATAAACACTAGAAATATAAATACGTTTTTTCGGTCAAGTGGGATTGTTGGAAAGGGTGTAGACTTTGGAGTCCAGCAGACAGGGCGTCAAACCCCAGCTCTGTCACTTACAAGTGACATGACCCGAGGCCAGCTTTTAGCTCCTCTGAACCTATTCTTTTGTGAGGAGAGTGAGGGTCATAGGACCTCTCTTGAAGTGTTGTTAGAATTAAGTGACAAATGTAGGGAAACACATCACCCAGTACCTGGCACAAAGAAGATGCCTATTAATGCTGGTTCTCTTTTCCCCGCTTCTATGGCTTGTTAATGAGATTAGATCTGGGGAGAGGCTAAGACAAAATAAAACCAGACTGGAGGAAAATATGTGGGGTGAAAGCCAGGATAATGCTGAACATATACAATGTGAAAGAGAAACACTTTTATTTCCAAGCATCCCACAGAAGCAGGAAGAAGAGCTATGGAGAAGGCTGCCCAACAAGAGGACCGACCATACCTTCACCTGAAAATGACCGAGGATGGGTCATCACTGGTTGGCTCACCAAAGCCACCATCTTGCACACTGTAGCAAAGAAAAATTTTCAAAATGGCACTTGTCATCATCCCAAGGGCCACATTAATGGGGAGAAGAAGGGAAAAAGAGAAGATCGTTTGTGGATATAGAATATTTCTTTCACAGTTACATTAATTAAGGACTTCCAGTGCCATTGAGGAAGCAAGCTGCACGGGCTGCGAGTTTACTCATACTGGGATGATACTGTTTGCATTTTTCAGCAATTATACGTGGATACTGTACCCACCCACTCCCCCAAACAATCTGGTTTAGAATCAGCATTTGATATAAAATTCATTGATTCAAGGGATTGTCAGGTCAGTTAGTAACTCTAGATGGCTGGTTCAAATCCAGATTTGAAGAGACACTAAGTCAAAACTTTTAGTCGACCAACCACAGGAAAACTAGCTTTGCCTCTTTGGATCTTTCAGACCTGTCATTCTAAGTGACTTTACAGCTCCCTTGGGGGAGATCTGGCTTAGGTGTCCCTGCGTGGGGGAGCTGGAGGACTAAGCTTTCATGTCGGTGTTTAAGAATCTTTGTACAAGAAGTTTATGCTTCTGTATATAAACAGTGCATACCTGCCAATGATAAAAAGGGAACATGCTCACTTAGCTGTCCCTTTCCTCCATCAGTCTCTCTCCCCAGAAGAAACCCCTTCCAACAATGTAGTGTGTTACATATTGACACATAGTTTTTATGTGATTATACTATCCATCCATGTATTATTATTCAGCGGCTGATTTTTCAAAAATCTTCACAGTGTATCATGGATGTCTTTTCACATCATGAATACGAATTTTCCTCCTTATTTTTACAACAGCCCGGGAAGAGGAACAGTAGAGTGCAGGGAATAAGAGGACATTTTACGTGAACTGATGTGAAATGTAATCAGATGCATTTAGTAAGGACTGAGTGAATTAATGCAGATAAAACACTAACAGCCCAGCAAGTGCACTGTGTCTATAACTCAATCATTAAGTTCTTTCTAAAATGTAACTAGTTCGAAGAGTACTACAATGAACATCCTTATATACATATCTTTGAACACTTCCTAGTGTTTTTATGGGGTGAGAATGAGGGATTCTGTTGGACATTCACACAGAGTTATGCTTGCCTAACTGCGCTCCAAAAGTCGTCCCAATTTATAGTCCAGCCAATAGTGTGTACATGATGATTCCATTTCCCCAGACTTTTGCCCAAACCAGATTTTATAATTAAAAAAATTTTCTCAATTTCTCAAAATACAACTGCTCTTGGACACATTGAACTACATTATAACAAATATTTGACCCAAAAGACCCACTAGGCCACCAAACTGAGCAGAGGCCAGAAATATACATTTAATGTTCTTAATAGAACATTCACACCTTTACCTAACATCAAGAGTTATGAAATTCTCTTCTTTCCATAATGCTTCTATGTGCCTTCATTTTGAACCTAGGGTGTATGAAAATCAATTTTCCATCTCTTGATTTCTTTCTTTTTCAAATTTAAGGACATTGTGATTCCATAAGTGTTTGGGGGAGTTAGGGTCTAGTTGCTACATGCATATGAAGTCTTACCATTTGAGTAATAAATATGCTGGTTTTCTGCCCCCCACCTTGATACATCTGAATACCTCCCTTTCCAAAACTGGTCTCTAGGAGACTGTGATCTGAGTAAGTCCTGGTTGCAAAGGATTTAATCTCTATCACAGACTAAAATCTTCTGGAAGCAAGTTGGAAATGCCAGGGTTAACTCAAACTCATGCTCAAGACTGTATTTACACCTTGCTAAGCTCTTGAGTTAGGGCTCATTTTTGCACTTAGGTTCTCTGTGAACTTGGATGCAAAGCCCCTCCTGTCTGCCTTGGGGTTCCTCTTGTTCTATTTGTCATCTTGTTTGCCCTCTGCTGGTTGTTCAGCAGAAGAACACGAACGGTTAGAACTACTCTTTCTGACCCGGTGAGATTTCTCTTACTCGTTTCTGTTTTGTGAAATCAAAATTCTGGTTGCGCTCCTAATTCTAAAGATGTTAAAAGAAAACATGTGCATTTTAATGGGTTAGGTTAATTTGAATTACTGAGGGTCTTTGGAGATAAGGCTTGAGGATGGAAGAAAACTAGCTTGACCTCTTTACCTATACATCTTCCTGTTTAGCTCTTCAACCCTGGACTTTTCTCACATGTGTAACTGCAGTTACAGCACAAACTCAAGGAGTAGAATGGATATGAATGAATATATCCCAGAACCCTGCCCGCCCGGGGAATCCAGAGCTGAGAGCATCCCAAGAGACTGAAAAGAAACACAGAATTAAGACATTTTCCACTGATCACCAGACCCATTCACTCAACAAAATGTCATACTATTTCACTAATAAGCTCTGCACAATACTATCCCAGGAAATCCTCAAAGCCTGTAGGCATTATAATGATACCCATCATTTAAGAGCCAACGCCTTCAAGTGTTCTGGTCTACCTGGGAAATGCACACAGGACAGCAGAGCACTCACAAGGGAAGTGGCTGTCTCCCTCACTAGTCCCCACTCTTCACAGACATTGTTGTCTTTGTTCAGCATCTTTTTGGTCTTCTTGCAACAGCGCCACTATACCTTTGGGGAACTGCCCGTTCTCCTCCATGTGATTCTAGGGGGTTCTAATCACATACCTTGGACCCCTGACCACAGGATTGGACACAGAAGCTAAGCCTGAAAAATCATCTCACACCTCCCTGGTCAAAATGATTGGTGACCCAAACCTGGTCACTTCTCTGGGATGTTATACATTGATGCTGGGAGAGAGAAGCTCTCTCTTCCCTCTAGGCTCACAAACCTGGGATCGCAGAAGCCTGGACCGGTCCACGATCCTTTCTGCTCCTTCTTTTTCATGGTGGACACCCAGGGTACTAGACATGGAGAGAAGGAAAAGAAATGGAAATATATTTGGAAATAGAATCTATGATGAATTGAACTGGAGGTAAGAGCTGAGCAAGAGGAAAGAGCCAAGAGTAACGTCTAGATTTCTAATTTTGGTTCCTGGATGAATGGGACCCCCCATTTGTTAATATAGGGGGAGAACCAGGAATGCGATTGGAGAAGAAACCACAGCTTCGAGGTGATAATCTGGAGTTCCGTTTTGGACATATGGATGTGGAGCTATCTGTGAGAGGCATCCAGTGGAGATGGGAAGTGTGTGGTTGAAAAAATGTGACTTTGGAGCTAGGGAGAGAGATTTAGCTGAAGATATTTATTTAGGAGCTGTGACATAGACAATGTAAGTGAAGACATTAGAGTAGGTGAGAATATTTAGATACAGAAGACACTGTTGAGAGGAAGACCCAGGACCCAGTTGTGAGGGGGACCAAACTTTAATGACTGAGTAGAGAAGGAGAACTTAGTAAACAAGACTTAAAAAGAGAGGCTATTCACATTGGAGAATAAGTGGGATGAGAATAAGGAATCGTAGAATCAGAAGTTTCAAAAGAGGCTAGTGGTCAACTGTGTCAAAAGCTACTGAGAGTCAGAGAAGTTTGAGGTTGGAGATACATTGGGTTTGGCGATAAGGAGGGCATTGGTGAAGGTGATGAGCCTCTTCAGTCATCTCCCCAAGCCCGCGTCATATCCGGAGGCTGCACCATCTATGCAGGCCTGTGTCATCTCCAGAAGCCCACATCATCTCCCCAAGCCCACGTCATCTCCCCAAGCCCGCATCATCTCCCTGAGCCTGCATCATGTCTCAGAGCCTGCCTCATGTCCATGAGCCCGCATCATATCCACGAGCCCGAAAAATGTCTGTGAGCCCACGTCATCTCCCCCGAGCCCACATCATGTCCCCAAGCCCACATCTCCCCAAAGGCACATCATCTACCCAAGCCCGTATCATCTCCCAAGCCTGCATGATCTCGCCAAGCCAGCGTCATGTCCCCGAGACAGCAGAATATCCACGAGCCCACATCATCTACACAGATTCGTGTCATCTCCTGGAGCCCGCATCATCTCCACGAGGCTGCGTCATCCCCTGAGCCAATAACTCCCAGAGAACACATCCTCTACCCAAGCTCACATCTACTCCCCAAGCACACATCATTTCCTCAAGCCCACATCATTTCCCCAAGCCCACATCTCCCCAAGCCCACTTCCTCTCCCCAAGCCCACATCATCTCTCAAGCCTGCATCATCTAACCGAGCCCATGTCATGTCCCCAAGTTGGTGTCATAATTGGGAGTCCACGTCAGCTATGTGAGCTGGTGTCATCTACCAGTGTCCGGGTCATCTCCCCGAGCCAAAGCCATCTCCCC